TGTGGTTTTAACTTGATGGACGTCTTCAGTCATCATTAAGTAAACACAGTTATGTGGTCTAAATTATCTACACAATCTACGGAGTTTTCGTTTGTTGGATACTGTGAGAAACATCCCAGTGTGGTAGATAATTATCCAACAAATTTCTAATGAGGAAATTAGAAAAGATGCCAGAAGTGGATGTGACATTCTTTAAAGAAATCATCGAACAACATCATGAAACAAGCACTAACTTGGAATCCTGAAGGGGAATGGAAAACATAAAGACCAAAGTACATATTTTGCCGAAAATAGGAAGCAGATATGAGAACGTCGAATAACAACGGGAAAGAAGTGGTAAGGATCGCTGAAGACACAGTTGGGTGGAGAATGCTGGTTGGTGGCCTAAGCTCCTCCACGATTGACAACCGACGTAATTACGTATGTATGATCATTTTGTATTTATCTAATTGTTGAGTCGTCTTAAGAAAACAATAACGGAGCCGACAGAGGCTCTAAAGTAGCCGAAGAGTTTCAGCCAATCAGAACATGATGGAGCTTTTTAGAAAATCAATGTGGCATGCTACTGTTGGTCAGTAACATAATATGTTTCTTAGCGGATTGGCAAAAATATAATGTTGATTTAGCGAATGCATATGTCTATAAATAACCGTGATTTTCTGTACACTTTGATTCTTAGCGAATAAACTCTTCTCCAACTCTTCTGTTTTCTGAGTTGCGACGGTGAAGTTCAAAGTTCGATTTTTGTAGTCGTAAACCGTATTTTGCGTCAACCAAGTAGAAAACTTAACACTACTAGTCAATATTTCTTCCGCGGTTACGATGTTTCTGTTTTCCTGTGTTCTTATCTTTGCCTTATTTATTTTGCAGTTATTTGTTTATGTTTTTGTCAAACACCTATGATTTTGTCGCGCTGCGGAGCGAGTTTAACCAGTGTTCCTAACGGCCATTTAAACTTTTATTATGACTGCCCGTATTTTTTTCATTCAATTTCATTGACATTTTTTACTTTTCAGTTTCATCATCTACATACTCACCTTTCAGTAAGTCGATCGCTAGTTTATTTTCATAAAAAGTGTCAGTACATTTCCACAATAATTCATATTCTTCTACATCGTTGAATAACGGTAAAAACGTTTAGTTGCTTTATTTTTGGACTTCACCGAATCTTTGTTAAACAACATGGCTTGGGATTCGTTTATTTTACAATCACTGGTTCGATTTTGGTACTGTCTGACTTTTCAATCACTCCTCTGCTGCTTATATTTTCGATTCTACATTTTGATATAGATAAGCTTGGATTCGCAAACGAATATAAATCATCTTTCATTGCCGTGTTTCTTAATTTCTTCAGTGTGATTTTCAGTAATTTATATCGAGTAATGGCTACTGTGTAGGATTCTGTGCACTCATATTGCTGGTACACATTATATTTTATATGTAACTAAAAAGTTTCATTAATGTTTATTTATTTTAATTTTCAGGATCCTACTCATACAAATATTTATCTATGCAGATAGAACATATCATTACTGTGTTTATGCCTGTTATCTTATCACGCATTCTCTTATCCTAGTGTGCAATCGTGCTTTATCACGAAAGTTTGGATTTCTCAATAACTTATAGAAAATATTTATGTAAAACACTTTAAAAAATGTAGTCCGTTTTGGTCAGTATATGCCTTTAGATATGTCATAATCCATATTATGATTTTGAACCTGTATCTTGTTTAATTTGCATATTTGAAAATTCGGTTGTAACTTAGATAATTTTGGTTATCATTTTGAGACACGTATTAAACGTCCATCATTGACTTTCCATTTGTTTTCTTCATTGTTCAATAAGTCCAAGGCTTGATAACATTTGGTAAAATATGTAAAGCGACATACGTTTTGTGTAAAAATGCGAACGTAGTTACATGAAGAATCTTCAATTTCTAAGTCATTACATTTATATAACGCAGAATAGTACTAAATATTTAGCAAGATGTGAGTCACTCATATATTTGTTTTCATTTAAACCCTACTGCGGGACGTTATTTAAACTTTATGAACTGGTATGATACCAGGAGGACATTTAAATACTTTTTATGAACGTGGAAGTTAAAAACGCTTTAATCTATCGCAATGATTCACTACAGACTTCATTTCGTTATGAAAGGTAACATGAAGAATATACGTCACTTTTAGTAAATAAAAACGTTTCGCTTTCCGAAGCCGTTTTACAGGTTTCTCCAAGGTCAAATGAAAGTGAAAGATTATTTTAATTAACTATAAATGAAGAAACTCAATGCTTCTAAGAGTTGGATCATGGCACTTAATCCGCGAGATACTTTTCCAGTAACTGAAAACATCAACGTTTTCCTTCCACTAGCCAGTTCCGTTAGTCATTATATCTCATATTATTGCACCTAGCAAAAATAGAAAAGCAATATAAAGTCTATTTTACTCGAATTATTTTCCTGAAACGGGCACTGTACATTGGTATTACCTCAAATAAAGCAGCCGATATCTTGTCATAAATTATTCTTTTCGTGATCCTTAAGATAAATGGGCCGTAATTTCTAAATAAATCCAAATTTGCAGATAATAACAGGAAATATGGCTGTCGTCTTACCAAAAAAATATTAATTGTTAGACATGAAAGTAAATTATTTGAAAAGATCTGAGTTTTAGTTAGCTGATGAAAGATGGGTTGCGTCTGGCTCGAACACTGAACTAACAATTCTACACCACCTATGTTGAATGAAAAGCTTTAATGCTAAATTTCAACGGAAATGACATTTTTGATATGTTAACTCACTTTTGTGTCCCAGTAGATGTAGCCGAAACAGACGACAAGTAATTTTGTTAACTGGGTTAACAGTCAGTAAACAAAATGATAGACATACATACACAGCAAAGGTAAACGTAATAGCATAAATATATATAGGTAACTAGAAAGTTATAAACAAAAGTAAATAATAGGTCACAATGATTTACGAAAAGTATAGAAATATTTAGAAAGTAAAAGTGACCGATTACCAGTTGATTTCGGATATATATGTATACACACATCCTACAGCTGGAGTTGTTTCAGAATGTATTTGATGAGAATCGTCATAGGTCAACACATCTGACGAGGAAATATGTCATGAAGATCATGCTGGCATGAGACGGCAGTTCCTAAACGGTGGATTGTGATTTTGCTTACGAATATTAATAATATAAAGAAATGCGCATGTACCGCTGTCACTTGTACGACATTACTTACTATCGTGCAGTAAACAAATCTCCAATTCAGGAATAATACGTATATAATAACAATAAAACAATCATAAATAAATAAGCCTTTAAAGAAGACCAAAAGAAAGAACAAAATATGGTAGAATTGGGCCTGATGGGCTTACTGGTAATTTCTTGAGTCTTCAAATGAGTACTCTAGCAGCCACTTAAGAAGCGCTAACAAAATTTTATTACTGAAAACAATCAAAGACAATAACCAGTAAGATAAACATAAGATTAAGATAATCTGATATTTGACACAATTGATGATGTCACAGGTATTCAGTGTTTGACAACGCTTCTACCAGTAACACCTTCTAATATATTTCGTTCCCGCCCAGAGAAATCAAAAGACAGAGTCGAGGAGATCGGAAGAGTATATTTGGCGATGACCAATATATCGGAATTCTCTGATCTAATCTGGCTAGCGATTGCGGTTGATGTTGAGCACGGCGTTACCACACGTGATCTGGTGCGGATGACTGACCGAGCGCCTTCAGCTAGGTGAGTCCACTAAAACATATGGTCAGCATCCAATGTCGAAAACTTAGTGCTATTTATTTTGGGGATTTATTTACCGCTACAGATCACTCCCCCCCTAGTGGGGCAGTGACGACCCTAAGACGTGGCCAGCCAGAAGTTTAAACCCAACGAGTTTGTCGTTGGTAAACACTCTTCTGATAGCTTACTAAATTTAGCAGCGTCTGGTCGTCTTTCCTTACTATATGGGACGGAGGTACAACATAGTAAAAAAAGAAAATGTACATGGAAAATTTCGGATCCTCATAAACGTCATCGTTCTTTTCCAGCCGTCCTGGAAAAGAAAAAAGAAAATGTAAGTGCATGTCGAAATACACTCGTATGTGCGTAAAAGCACAATGTCGGCGGAAAAAAAAATGGAAAATAAACTCATGAACACGTAATAGCGTTAAAAAGATGTTTTTTATGTTTTGTTTTTTTTAAAAATAAAAATATAAATATATGGGCATAATAAAATTATCTTCTTTTTTAAAAAAAAATTATATATCGTTAAAAAGAAAGATCGAGATAATATAAAATGTCGATTAGTGCCTTACGTGCAGTAGTCGTTTAAATGTTCTGGAAATCTTACTCTTCTTCCAGAACGCGTCGTTTTAGGTATATTTTCAGATACATTCGAAGTATCATCGCTAGCGTTGGTTGTCGGTTGAGGAATTATGAGTGGAGTCGTGTCGTTCGATTGTACCGAAGGAAAATCGACGTGGATAGGATTTCCTTCTAAATACACTGCTTTTAAGCGATCGATGCTGATGCTATCGTTTGTTCCGTTCTTATCGACTATATAGTACTTAGATTCACGTTGAAGAACTTTGAAGGGTCCTTCGTATGTTGATTCGAATGGTCGTCGATGCGAGTCTCGACGAACGAAAACGTGTGTACTATATCGTAAGTCAGGTTGAACGAAAACATCAGTTGATTGAGGTCGAGTGGAAGCAGGTTTAACTGAACGCATTGCGTTCGTAAGCCTGTTCGTGTAGGAGGTTAGATCCATGTTCATTGAAGAGGATGGAGGATCCACGAATTCTCCTGGAAGTCGAAGTGTCGCTCCATAGACGAGTTGAGCCGCAGTGTATCCAATGTCAGCTTTCACTGCATTGCGGATACCTAGTAAGACGAGTGGAAGAGCGTCGGTCCACTGTGAAACGTTTGCAGCTGATAGTGAAGCTTTTAGTTGTCGGTGAAAACGTTCTACCAACCCGTTTGCTTGTGGATGGTAGGCGGTCGTTCGGAAGCGAGTGATTCCTAAAAGTGTGGTCAGACGACGGAAAAGATCGGATTCAAACTGACGTCCGCGGTCTGTAGTGATAGTTGAAGGGCAACCGAAGTTTGCTACCCATCGTTCGACGAAGGTGCGGGCCACTGTTTCAGCAGTGATGTCCTTGATAGGTACTGCTTCTGGCCATCGAGTGAAACGGTCTACGCAGGTTAAGAGATAAGAGTATCCATTTGAATCTGGTAAAGGTCCTACCAAATCCAGATGAACATGGTCGAAACGAGCATCGGGAGTTTTAAACGAGCCTAAGGGACATTTGTTGTGTCTGATAACCTTAGATTTTTGGCAGCTTACACAGGAGCGTGCCCACTCCCTCACGTCTTTATTCATTCCAGGCCAGCAAAACCTTTCTGTTATAAGCTTGATGGTTGCACGAACACCTGGATGCGAAAGTTTGTGCAATGTGTTGAAGACATTGCGTCGATAATGTTTCGGCACGATTGGGCGATCCCTACCTGTAGATGTGTCACAAAGTAAGGTTTCCTTACCTGTTCCCATCTGTTTGATGCGTAGTTTAAGTGTTGTGGACGATAACTCGTGCTGAAGATCAGTGTCTTCTTTTTGAAGCTCGGCGAGTTTAAGAAGGTCGATTCCTTGGAAACTGTTCAAGGAAGTTATACGAGATAAAGCGTCTGCAACTACATTGTTTGCTCCAGAGACGTGTTGAATATCTGAAGTAAACTGCGAAATGTAGTCCAGTTGTCGAGACTCACGGGGAGAGTACTTGTCAGAAGGAGAGCTTAACGAGAAAGTAAGCGGTTTATGATCCGTAAAAAGAGTGAATTCACGACCTTCGATGTAGTGTTGGAAATGCCGTACAGCACAATACATAGCTAGGAGTTCCCTACCGAATGTGCTGTACCTCGATTCGGTGTCTAGCAACCGTCTAGAGAAAAATGCCAAGGGTTGCCAGGAGTTGTTAACCCATTGTTGTAAGACTCCTCCGATTGCCGAGTCGGATGCGTCTACTGCGATGCTAATGGGTGCTCGGGTGTCCTGATGTGCGAGCATTGTTGCTTTAGCAATCAGTTCCTTAACTGTGGAGAATGCTTTTCGTGCGGTGTCGTCCAAATTAATGGATTTCGCATTTCCACGAAGTTGGTCGGTTAGAGGTTTCATGAGTAATGCGCATTTCGGTATGAAACGTCTATAGAAACTTACCAGGCCGTTAAACGTGCGTAATTGCCTGACGGTGGTCGGTTCTGGGTAATCCAGAATGGCCGCCACTTTGGTCCTAAGAGGTCGAATGCCTTGAGCATCGATAGTGTGTCCTAGGAAGTCTAACGAGTCGGTTCCGAATTGGCATTTCTGAACGTTTACAGTTATGCCATGTTTTTGAAGTCGTTCGAAAACAAGATCCAGATGCTTGAGATGTGTTTCTCTGTCCGGACTTGCGATTAGACAGTCGTCAACATACGCGTGTACGAAGTTGAGACCTCGAAAAACGTCGTCTATGAATCTTTGGAATGTTTGAGCAGCATTCCTTAGACCGAAAGGCATTCTCAAAAATTCATAGAGTCCGAAAGGAGTTATGATAGCTGTTTTTGGTATGTCGTCAGTAGCCATAGGGATTTGGTTATACGCTTTAACCAAGTCGATTTTCGAAAAGACAGTTGTACCTTTCAAGGTAGCTGTCAAATCGTGAATGTGAGGCAACGGGTAACGATCGGGAATGGTTTTCGCGTTCAATCGCCGATAGTCACCAGTTGGACGCCAATCGTTGCTGTCCTTTTTAGGGACCATGTGCAACGGAGATGCATATGGGCTACTTGACGGTCGTATGATTCCTAAGTTCATCATGTGATCGAATTCGTTTTTCGCTAACCTTAGCTTTTCAGGAGCTAGTCGGCGTGCTTTAGAAAATACAGGTGGTCCTGTAGTCGTGATGTGATGTGTAACATTGCTGGTTACACACGGTAGTTTCGTTTGAGTTTGTTGTATCTCAGGGTACTTATCGAGTAGTGGTTGATAGAGTGGGTCTATCATATGTTTAACTGTGACTGGGGATACTCTACAACCAGTAAAAGTAGTTACGCAAACGGACAAATTAGTGTTTCCGTCTACTAGCCTCCGTTTGCGAGTGTCGATGATCAGATTGTGGTGTTGTAGAAGGTCCATACCAATGATTGGCATAGAAACATCTGCAACAACGAAAATCCAGTGGATGGGTTTGCGTAAACCCACGTTAAGGTAGACGTACCTTTTGCCGTACGTAGCGATCGGTTTTCCATTTGCCGCCTGTAAGTTAAAAGCCGACTCCTGAAGCCGGTCGTTAGGATTTGCTGGGAGAACGCTAACTTCTGCGCCAGTGTCGACGAGGTAACGAACTCTCGTTGTCACATCTGTGACGAATAACAGACGGCTTTGTTCGCCGGCTACGGTTGCCGTTAACGCGTGCCGGCTTGGAAGTTTCCCGAATTGCTTTTCGAATCAGTCGGTTTCGTGTTGGGAAAATTGCAGGGTTTTCTGCAATTTCTGGAAAACTTTCCATACTGGTTATGATACCAGCACCAGTCGGGGTTATCTGTCTCTCGTGGTCTAGAGACAGATCGCTTACGAGAAATGCTTCTACGTGGTGTGCGCGATCTCTTACGGTCGTTACGAAGACTAAGATAACGCGTGAGTGTGTGACATAAGTCGTTTATATCATTCTGAGTCGTTTGAGGTTTTTCTTTGACTGAAAATACCTCGGTAGTAGATTTCGTAATTTCTAATATGCGGTCGGCAGATGCAGCTAGCTCGTCTAAGGCGTTGTTCTGGAACGAGACCAGAACTGCTTGCACCTGTTGGGGAAGTTTTGACAAGAAGAGTTGTTTGAATAGGCCTTCGTCGAAAGTTCTTGGGCCTATTACCTCTCTCATCCGTTGCAACATGTCTGTCGCAGAACCGTGTTGCAGGTCGATATTGTTGAAGAGTTGATCTAACCTTTGTCGATCGGTTAGGTCTCCTCGTTTAAGAATCGAGCGTTTTAAGATTTCGTAAGGATCGGAAACATCACTAGTAAACATACTAGGTGTTACGTACCTGTTGAATTCGCGCGGTAGTGCCTTGACTACTGCGAGGAATTGTGCACGTGTGTCGATCACGCCGTGCTCGGAGAAGTCGGCTTCTGCGTAGCAAAACCAGGCTTCGATGTTGTCGGGCCAGAAAGGCATGAGTTGAAACGAAGGCGGGGACAAAGTCTTAAGCTTGAGTACTTTAGGTGTCTGTTCAGTCATGATGAAGTATGAAGTACGATAATGAACAAGGGGAAAATATATATATCCAGGAAAAAACACGAAAAAAAAATCACAATGTTTAAAAAAGTTAAAAAAAAATAAGGCAATGATATATAAAAATCCCAAAAAGGAACAGACTCACAGTTACAATTAGGTGTACCAGATCACGTCGGTTTCACCAATGATGATGTCACAGGTATTCAGTGTTTGACAACGCTTCTACCAGTAACACCTTCTAATATATTTCGTTCCCGCCCAGAGAAATCAAAAGACAGAGTCGAGGAGATCGGAAGAGTATATTTGGCGATGACCAATATATCGGAATTCTCTGATCTAATCTGGCTAGCGATTGCGGTTGATGTTGAGCACGGCGTTACCACACGTGATCTGGTGCGGATGACTGACCGAGCGCCTTCAGCTAGGTGAGTCCACTAAAACATATGGTCAGCATCCAATGTCGAAAACTTAGTGCTATTTATTTTGGGGATTTATTTACCGCTACACAATTGATACAATTAGATATCCAATGAGATATAAATTCTAAAATAGAATCCAGAGCGTTGTGTAGTGCGAAGAGATCGTCACTACATACAAGGGCTACAACGATATGTCGAAGCTTATATAAAATACTTGCAACAAGAAAATCGGACCCAAAATGGTAGTAAGGATAGAGAATTTAATGAACGGTGAACGAATGAAGCATATATTTTGAATAGTTCAGTAACATAAATCAAAGCTGCCGAAAAGCGAAAATATAAAATACCAACAACTGAAACTCTAAAGAAAGGAAATTACAACTATGTGTATACAATAACAATACTAAAATTATTGTGCAGGTTTTTTGTCGTTATTGTCTAAGATTGATTATAAATCTTGGGACCAAACAGTTTATCCCCCAAAATACTGGAGCAAAATATCTGGTAGATAGGAAGTTGAGTATGTAAGGTCACTATTACCGGTGAAGTAATATAAAATTATCGACCAGATTGTTTTAAAGACAATTTCAGAGGTTGATATTTTGTATAAAACGAGGGCAGTGATTTTTTGAGGCCACATTGAGGCAAAGTATTTCAAGGTCTAAAGAATTTACTTCCAAAATAGTTCTGAAGAACACCTTTTCACTTCGAAAAAATCCCTGTTAAGCCAAAGCATTGCAATTCTGTATACTGGTGTGGAGTTCAAATGGTATTATGAACTGCTAGTAATTTTAAATATAGTAGAATAATCGTAACGTCCAGATCGAGAATTAAGAACTGATTGAATTTAAATACTTCCTCTGACGACGAAAATTGCATTATTCCGTCTGAATGCAGGGTTGATGAACCAGAGTTTGTTTGAACCACGTTTTTATGTAATGTGCAGAATGCCTTTTTGAGTAACTCACACTAGAGTTTATATAAACAAACATTTTGCATAATATAAAGGATTCTGGTTTAATAAAGAAGGCAAAGTATACCAAAGTTACAAAATAATTCAAATGGTATGGCATGTGCTGAACGTTCGCTTGGCGCGAAATAGCAGGATGTTTCCGTACATGAGATTCGGTTGAAGTACTCCAAATAAGATGAGATTAAACACTCATCTACAAAGATTTGAGTAATCATGTTCAGCAGTGTGGTAAAGGTTAAAAGTCGTCAACCGGATCATGGAGCACGCTTGATTTCGGTCAATTAGAACCGTACTATCGATATTTATGGAAGGTGCAGCAGCGAAATCATATGATCAAAGTGAATCCTAACCAAAGTCAAACAACATAGACCTAGTTAAAGTAGAACATAAAACATGATCAAAAGTTATGAGTAAACTTAAAACATAAAACACAGCGAAGGAAAAAGAAAGCGGATTGTGATAATTATTGCGAATGAGATAATAAAAGCACCAGTAACACTGACTGTAGCTAGGTACTACAATCTATACGGATGTTTTGAGAGCATACAGACTCCTGCATAGGCTTAGGTATGTGCATCGTGTCGCTATCCACAAGTGGAATTTTGTGTACTGAACAACAAGAGTGCGCACAAAGAATATTAAAGATATGTAGTCGAGGCTGAAAGAGGTTTCGAGACTTTATCATGGCTCCGGAGGCTCACTGTTCTGTAGCTATATGGATAATTTCCTCTGCTGCGTGAATTGCCATTTTAGAACATCCGAACCTCTTCCAAAACTTGAAAAGTTTTTAAATCACGTATAAGAAGTGTATCTACTTCATTTCTGTGTTTTTCTTTAACACATTTTTACTCTATACATACTTTTTGCTGATTGGCTAATATTTCTGAAGGCCACTTAAGGTTCGTTCAGGGATCGTCCACAAATTATAGTCTCGCCAAGAAAGCTGGTCTCTCAATATCGTAGGGTGGTTGAATGTGGACATAGACACTTATGAAAGCAGGCTCAGTGGTCTAAATGTTAACTGTTCGGGCGCAATACCGAATGTCCTGGGTTTGAATTGCCTTTGAGCAACTGTCGATGTTCACTTCCAAGTAGTCTCAAACTGGGACGAAACATACACCTATTGCCTTCAGATTCTCAGCTGCGGTTGACAAATAGTTGGTTTATGATCTTAGTAAAAACTCAACAGTTTTCACAACTCTGTACCGATAAAAAAGAAATAGAAACACTGTTTAAAAGGTGTTTGGAGAGATTTTCACTATAATCTTTCTACTGCAATTAGCACGAACTTTAAGCGCTGAAAAAGCCGACCTTTATGTAGGTGTATACATTTTTCCACTCACGGCAATCTGCTCAGAGAAACTGAAGTAGAAAGCGAAAATGCAATTGACCACACGACAAACAGGATTTCTTATATGAAGTCGAATTTGAAGTAATTCACGAATTCATCTTTTATCTGGATTTTTCAAATTGGTTTCTGTTATTATGTTTTCACGGTATAATTGGTTATCTCTTGTTCATCTCTGTGACACTAAGTTGTCTATTGACAGCATCACTGAGATCATTGTTACCATTACAAAAACAGCAGAAACATTAAGCTATTTGTATAACGAAGTATAGAATTTGTTTAGGTTATTTCTCTTGTTTAAGGTATTTTATACTAAAAGGCATGCAGTTGTGAAGTTGTAGGTGTCTTTTTTCTCTGAATTTCCACTTAGAATCTTTGATTTTAACCTCTAGTATGAATTATGTGGACGTTTGGCTATTAACAGGAACGGAATTACTAAAATATGCCGGTGTATTTAACGTCACTTGAAAATGTCATGTTCGAAATCCTTCCAGTTTGCTAGACGGAAACAAAGTAGATTTACAACTAGATGCAAGATTCTTCAACAGTCTGTATCTATTTTAATAGCAGTGACTTAATTAGCCTGAATGCTGTCTTTCTTGGAGTTGTGTGATAAACACCAAGTTTCAAATTATTCTGATTATCTTTTTCCTTCCCACCTTGATGCAGTGATAAATTATATCCCAAAGCTTTGATAATCAGAGTTACCGACGTTGCCAAATTCAGATTTGAGATGGTTTACCGGATCGCTAACAATTTCAAATGGCCTGTTACTTTGACAATACGTCAATAATTCGAATTTGACACCAGTATAATGAAACTGCATCACATCGTTTCAACAGATCATACTGATACAGGTTTGTATTTGGCTAAGTTACTAATGAAAAATTGAATACACCAAATGAAGATCGGCTGAATGCCGAAAAGGTATCGTCACACAGAAGTAAATACAGATATCATCCATGTAAGTAAGAACGTACTTAAGACACTATTCTGTGTCACGCTACCCGTGACCCAAAACATCGTGATATGATAAGTTTCTATTTTAATTTTTTGATATGATGAAGTGAGTAAAGAATTAAGCCAAACAAGCGGGTGATATCTGGTCGCACAAAACATGAGTCTGGCAGATAAACGGGCTTCGAAAATTTCAAAGTACAACACTATTACTTGATGCCAAAATCTACCTTCAGTAATGACTACGTTGTAGAATTCAAAGTGTTCATATTGAAAATACTCTCATGTTAGGTGTAAACGTGAGGTGTAATATTTATAAATGCCAGGAGTTATTTCTTGAAAAACACACAAAAGTGATAACACATGACTTCATTTCTGAATGAATAGATTTATTGGTATTCCTTACACCCTACTAAAATTATCGTAACCTACTTCATAATAAAATAAGAAACCTTATCGAAAATGTGTATACACTTGTATTTCTTGCCCAACCAATAAAGTATGATGTTATTTGAAAAATCAAGCTACCGTAACAACAAGCCAGTTCAGTACTTTCTGAATACGTCCATCACTTATTTTGTAGTTCCGCACTGTAACGTGTTTCGTATCAAAAGAAAACTTTAGAAAATAAATTAAACGCGCAAAACGAGTAATTACTGAAGAGTAAGACTTCATTTCATGAGTAGTGTAGTTTGTCGTATCTAGTCTTACATCCGACCAGCATTAGTCTGCAGTGTGGCGTCTAGTCGAGGTTTACTATGATCACCACTGCAGGAAGACTACGTTCCAGTTTACCGATAAGATCCCCCGTAAGCCAAATATCAGAAGGCGATTGATGGCCGTAGTCGAGATGTATTTGTTGGCGATCTCGTGGTATCAAAAGAATACCAACATCGTGCCAGGTTACAAGTGTGGTTACTGAGCGTAACCGAATTCATGCAAAGGCACAATCAACGGAAGGAAGAATGTCTGTAGTACAGTTAAACATACAAGTACAGCAAAACAATCACTGGTACAATTGGTTATAATAATAGTTGTTTCTATTAAACCAATCTCTTGATAAAAGTACGCCACTACATATTATTGTAGCCTCCGGGGAGAGACTAATTTATTTATTTTTCCCGAGTCGCATTTGAATATGCCGACTGTTAACATATTCACCCTGTCTGTTTTGTTGTGACAGTGTGTTTATCGCTTACAGTATTCATCACAAGTCTTTAGCTTTTTTTATCTGGCTTGAAATATTGGCTGATGGTTTATCAAATGGAACTGACACACATGCCTTCTTTTGTTCACTTCTCCATATCACTCTCCCACTTTTCATTTTTTCAATGTGTGCCGGAATAAAATCACATAACTTCACATCTTATTACCACTATTGTGCAATCGGCCTTAGCCTAGGTATAATACATGGAGTTAAGATGGGAGGTATCTTC